CCCCCAACAGTTCTTTTCCTCCTCCTCCTCCTCCCCCTCCCCCTCCTCCTCCTCCTCCTCCTCACAAGCCCCTTCCTTCTAGCCTTGATGATGTTACCTAGTTTGCTTAACAAAAACATCTGCAAGAGAACCACCCAGCTCAGAGAGCACCAAGGACCTCGCCATCCAACCCTGAGCTACAGATATCCCCCTCCCTCCCTCCCTCCCAGGTTGTACCTTGAGAGAGGTTCTTCCCGCCACAACTGTCTGGACCACGATCTGCCCCTCGTGACCCACAACCAGGTTGGAGATGGTGACCGGCAGAGAACTCTCGCAGGGGGGCTTCAGCGACATCATGAACTGCCCTCGGCGGATGGTGTGCACAAGGATGGTGCCGTCCTGGTGGAGGCAGGAAGGAAAAAAACATGCTTGAAATTAGGATTTTGTGCCCAGCGAGAAGACCCGCAGGATGATTAGGGAAAGGAGCGTGGCAAGAATGAAAAAAAGAGAGAGAAGAATTTTAGATATTGGCTTAGAATTCCAGACCCGTCACAAAAACGGTCGGTCACACAACCATCCTGATTTTACAATATTGTTTGCAGCGGTCATTAAGGAAATCACTGTGGTTATAAGTGCAAAGGTCTAGTCTTTAAATAATAAGGTCAATAATAAACGTAAATTCATTGTTCGCTTTGAGTGTGGTTTTACTGAAAACTGGGTTGTATCCGGGTTGTAGGTAACTTCTAGGTAAGTCTGTCATAACTTTGAGTAATTGCGAAATGATCGGTCGTAAATCAAGGACTACCTGCAAAGAGGCAGAAGACTATTGTGCAAATAGTTTTGCTACCCTTCTCCAAGATTAATGAAAAGATGATCTTGTGCAAGATGCTTGAAAGGACATGGAATAAGAGTTGGAAGGGACTTTGGAGGTCTTCTAGTCCAACCCCCTACTCAAACTGGAGACCGTATGCCATTCTGAACAATGGCTGTTAGAACATGTCTATTCTGTTGGATGTATGATGTACTCGTTTTAAGTAAGAAACAGTTTAATTGCTAGAATTCCTATAGCGCCATCTCTTTTGTTTCAATCAATCTCGCTAAAGAAAATTTCCGTCTCAATCAATCTTGCTAAAGAAAACTTTCAATCAATCTCGCTAAAGAAAACTTTAGTCTCAATCAATCTTGCTAAAGAAAACTGCAAAAATCATGCCACGAAAGGAACCACTTTCCCTTTGACATACGTCAAACACCTGAGTCAGGGAGAGATGCTTTGATTTTTGACTTCCTGGGTCACCTGCCAAGCAACACTTCGATCGGGGCTCCCAACCGGATGGGAAACGAAGAAAGAAAGTCTTTACCTTGGACCCCGACACCGCCATGTCCAGCTCAGTGCTGATGCCAACACACGTGACTTCATCTTCATGTCCGTAGAGGACCTGAACTGGCTTGGAGGCTAAGCCGTAAGACAGTCCGCCCTGATTGGATAAAGGAAAAAGACAGAATCATGGAGCTGGAAGGGGCTTAAGAGGTCATCTAGTCTAGTCTGCACCATCCCTAATAGATGTTGTCAAGGTTCTGACCCAACCAACCAAGCACTCTAGAGACGATCTGATCTCTTTATGTAAAACTTTATTGAGTACATCATTTCGGCATGTTTGAAAGCAAAACTAGCTCTGGCTAATCCCCGCTTAAATCATCATATTAAAGATAATGGATTCCATCCTCCCTCCATTAGCGCATGTCACATTGCCCAATTAAACAGGATAACATTGTTTTGAGAACCGGTCGTTCTTCCCCTCCTCTCCCCCCCAACTTCGCTGCAGACGTTTCAAACTTGGCAGATGTAGCGGGAAGAAGGAAGGGCCTTGAGGAACAGGAGGAAAACGGCAATCGAGACCACAGGCAGATAAGAGAAATTTGAGTCTGGGCCAGAACTGTATGCTGAGAAAGTGTCTCACTCTTCCTGGACAGGCCCCAGGAAATGCTGGGAGTGGAAAGTGGAGAAGAAGGCGAACACCGGAAGCCTAGGATCATCTCAGCCATGATGGAAGGGAATCTCCCTAAGCCAGGGGTATGCTGGCTCAGGAATTCTGGGAGTTGAAGTCCACGAGTCATAAAAGAGCCAAGGCGGCCTACCCCTGCCCTAAGCAAAACCAAAGGAGGAATCTGAGGAGTTCTCTCACCTGTTGGAGAACCTGCCACACGAGGCAGGTGGTGTCCCGCGATCCAGAAATGAGGTAGATTCCACACAGATCTAAGGCCAGGCAGGTGACCACATCTGTTGGGAAGGGGAAGAGGACCTCATGCAAAGCCCAGGAGAAACGCAAGACCAACAGTCTGGAGATCTCCAATCCCCCCCTTAGCCATGAAGGTCAGTTGGGTGACTTTGGGTCAATCACCAGGAGACCATGAGTTCTAGTCCCGCCTCAGACATGAGTATTGGCTGGGGAACTTTGGGCCAAGCACCAGGAGAAGGTGAATTCTAGTCTCACTTTAGGCACGAAAGCCGATTGGGTGACTAATCAGCAGGAGGCAGTGAGTTCTAGTCATGCCTTAATGATTTCTAATCCCGTTGTCAACGCTGCTAATATTGAATATTCTTGCTTTGACAAAATATGCAGAACTGTCTGGTATTTTTAGAGTTAATGCAGAGGAGAATGAGGGAGGGGGGAAAAGCCCGGAAAGGGAAAGGAAGGGAACCTTTGCCCTTCACACTAATTGGAGAACGTAAATCATGACAGCAAAATAGGGAGTGGAAATGCTAGCAAAAATAACTGCTCGGTGGGTGGGGATTTCAGTTCTTGGCATCGCCTCTCATCATGCCTGTGCCGACATTTTGTCACATAAATAAATAGACTTTTTTTAGGATAAAATGCCTGGAAGTTCTTTGAAGTGTTTCATTAGTCAGAACCGTGACACCCGTCTTAGGCACAACAGTTAACTGGGTGACTTTGGGTCAATCGCCAGGAGACAGTGAAGTCTAGTTTCACAGTCATAAAAGTGAGGGGGGGGGACTTTGGATCAATCACCAGGAGATGGTGAATTGTAGTCCTCCTTAGGCATGAAAGCTGGCTGGGTGACTATGGGTCTCCCAAAGGCTACTTAACGCCCAGGCTGAAGCTATGTTCGCTGCAGCATTCAATCATACGACTGCAGTCATTCATTCATATGACTAATTGCAGGGAACTGCAGCACCCACCCCTCACATATCTCACCCACTCCCCTGCCAGGTTCCCACAAGCCCTTGATAGCCCCCAGGCTATGTTGGGTCTGTCCCGTGCTCTGGCAAATGACCACATCGGGGACAGAGAGATTGAGATTGTTAAGTGAGGTACTCACGTGTTCCCCTCGCTTGAGAACTGTCACAATGTGCGACCGTAATGGAATGCTCCATTACATTCATAACTCAAGGACTACCTATGATGATGAAGCTCATTTAAACTGGACCTGCTAACAGTCCTCATTCATCCATCCCCACCTACGTTAATTGGATGAAATTTTTAAAAAAAGGAGTTGGCAGACACACGGATCCCTACCTATGTGACGATTGATGTGTCCAATCACCTTTCCTTTACTCAACGAGGTGACCCGCAAGCTGTTGTCCCAGTGGCCTCCACTGAAGAGGAGCTTGCCGTCGTGAGAGACCACCAAGGTCTTGGAGGACAACTCTGCCCCCGGAGCAAAAGGGCCGTAAAGGTAGCGTTGCGTCCTGGCAGGAGAAAGCAAGAAGAAGGTTGGAAGATAGGAAGGAAGCTGAAGAAACTTCTCAGAACGTCCTTGCGGTGGAGGAAGAAGCTAGGACTCACTTTGGATTGGAGACGGTGGAGTCTTTGGTGAAGCTGAAGTAATTGGAGATGTTTTTATCGTACGGCAACCAGCTGTGAGTTCCCAGCAGCCCGTTGGCACTGACTGTGATCTGAACAGAGAGTGAGGAACATCAACTAAGAATGAGGGAGAAGAAGCCATGGGCTGGGGTGTGGGAATATTAGAAGAGACCTATTGGGTCAAGCCAAGGTCTGACATTTTGTTTCTCTTGGTGGCCATCTAGATGGGTCTGGGATGGTCTCAAGCAAGATGAGAACTACCATCTTGTATGATTGTTTCTCCATAACTGATTTCTAACACAGAGGTGGCATGGGGTCTTGAAGATGGGTAGACCCCAACAGACCTCTAGGAATTTACCCAATCCCTTCTGAAGGCCATCCAAGTTAGTGGTAACCACCATGTCCATTACAGTGAATTCCAGAAATTAATTAGCTCTGGATGAACAACTATTTCTTTTGGACTGTTCTACACCTCCTTCGAAGGAAAAACTTGATGGATCAGGCCCAGGATCTCTTAGTCCAGCATTTTGCTCCTCGTGGTGGCCAACTGGAGCTCCCAAGCAGGAGATGGACATATCCTTCCCTTGTTATTGTCCTACAACTCAGATTGGGAGGCAGGTAGCTCCCAATTTGGAGGTAACATGGTGTCTTCAAGACTCACAGTCCTCAGTAGACTTGTCTTCCATCAATTTATTCCTCTCTTCTGGAGCCCGCTAGATGATCCTGCCCAGCATCCTCATCCCCTCTTGTGGCAATGAGTTCCACAGGTGAACTCTGCGCTAGATAAGGAGGACCTTTCTTATATCTGTTCTAGATCTTCTCCCAATCAACCAGGTGGGTAACGGCAGACTCCTAGAGTGGCTTCTTTTGGGATCTACAGTTCTCCTACGTCAATGGTCCACTATGTCCACTTTCTAAAAAACATGCTGTAGGAGATCAAGGATCCCTTTTTTTCCCCCTTACCATCATGTCAGGAGATCCCTGAGTGATGAAAGAATGAGATTGATTCTTGGGCACGACCACCTGGACAAGCGGGATCCGGTCGCTGATGCCCTAAACAAAGAAGAGAAGACAAGCCACCATGTTTTTATGATCTGGTAAATTTTTAGAGGTCAGTCCCAAAAAATGTTTTTCCAAAAGATAACTGGGTTTTCTTGGCTTTTCTTGGTTTTTCTTTTCCGTCTCATCCAAATACCTTCTTCAGTTCCTTCAGCCCCTCTATGTGGTCGTTAAGTGAACCCAGCTTCTCCCACACTGACCGACTGAGAAGGTTGCAAACAGCGATCAGGTGACCCAGTGACGCTGCAACTGTTGTAAGTACAGGTAGTCCTCAACTTGCAACCACAACTGAGCCCAACTTTTTTGTTACTAATTGAGACGTTTGTTAAGTGAATTTTGCTCTGTCTTTCTTCCCACGGTTGTTAAGTGGATCACGGCAGTTGTTAAGTTAGGAACATTGTTGTTAAGTGAATCTGGCTTTCCTGTTGATTTTGCTTGTCAGAAGGTCGCAAAAGGGGGATCATGTGACCCTGGGACACTGCAACGGTCATAAGTGTGAGTCAGTTCCCAAGCATCAGAATTTTGATCACGTGACCGTGGAGGATGCTGCAACGGTGGTAAGTGTGAAAAATGGTCATTAGTCACTTTTTTTGGTGCTGTTGTAACTCTGAATAGTCACTAAGTGAACTTTCGTAAGTTGAGGACTACCTGTACATACTGGTTGCCAAGCACCTGAATTCTTGGGGGTACTGAGACGGTCATAAGTGTGAGAACCGCTTTTCTCAGCACCGTTGTAACTTCAAAGGATCACTAAACGAATGGTTGTAAGTTGAGGACTTCCCGTACTGGTGGCTAGATGGGAAGCAATCAAAACAACTCTTCTTTTCATCTCAATGTGGGAAAGACTTACTTCAACGAAGAACGATTTGAGCTGATCCAGATTCTCAAAAATATTCGGTGAATAAGTGTCCAGCCGAGAAAGTCTCCTGGCGGCATTTTCAGCCGAGAAACGGGCCGGGTGGGGCTCCTGCGGAGAAGGTGGAGAAGAAAAACAGTGTCAATTTTACAAGGAATTTTCATTTTCCCTGAAGATATAGGCCGTCCTCGACTTACGACCACAATTCAACCCAAAATTTCTCTTGCTGAGACGGTTGTTAAGAGAGTGCTGCCCCATTTTACAACCTTCCTTGCCGCAGTCGTTAAGGGAATCACTGTGGTTGTTATGTTAATCACACAGTTGTTAAGTGAATCTGGCTTCCCCCTTTGACTTTGTCAGAAGGTCATAAAAGGAGATCACATGATCCTGGGACACTGCAACCATCATAAATATGAGTCAGTTGTCCAGTGTCTGAATTTTGATCACATGACCTTGGGGACCCTGCAATGGTCGTAAGTGTGAAAAATGGTCATAATTCACTATTGTTAGCACCGTTGTAATTTTAAATAGTGACTAAACAAAACCTACTTAACAACTGTCTCGCTTAGAAACTGGCCAACAATTTTGGCCTCCATTGTGGTTGTAAGCTGAGAACTACCTGTAAAACAAAAGCTTAAACTTTTAAAATGACCGTTCTTCAATATTTAAGGAAGGTCTTTCTTCAATTCCTCAACCATTCATAGATCTTGTCCAACCTTTCTCCATCTTCAAGGTTTTCTTCACTACAGCTCATTTACTCCTTGACTTATGAGGGTGCTGCAATGGTCGTAAATGCTAAAACCAGTCAAAACTCATTGTTTTCAGTGCCATTGTAATTTCGAACCGTCATTAAACAAATGGTTTTAAGTCAAGGACAACCTGTACTTTTTTACTGCTGATTCTGGCTAGGTCCTAAACACAACAGCTGCAATTATTATTGACCCCTGGTACCTTCAGCAGCTGGCAGGGGGTCTGCCCAAAGTTACTGATGATGCCTTCCAAAGCCTTGCGTTGCGTTTCGTCTGCAATCGCGTCCAAGTCAACTGCCCCTAAGTGAAAACAGCAGGTGTAAAACCGAAATGGCTGGCTGCATAGTGTACAGTATAGTACAGAGAAATGGAACAAGTTGTTTTGACATCTTGTTGGATGCAGAGCTGAACAATAATCAGAGGATTGTTGTATCTACCCTGATCCTCTGCTCCTGGACAATTCGCCGCTCTGACTCACTGCGGCCGACTCACTACGACCGACTCCCCCTGGTCAACTTGTTCCAGCTGACACACTGCGGGACAATTTACCGCAGCCAACATGCCATGGGAAAATTTGTCACGGGACAATTCAACCTGGGATAGCTGTACTGTTATCTGCCACTGTTTCTTCGACATTACTTTAATTTTTATCAAAATGTGACAACATTTTGTGATTTTTGTGAATGACAAAAATTAAAATACCGTATTTTTCTGTCTATAAGATGCACCCTTATATAAGATGCCCCCCCAATTACTGTTACTTCTCGGTACCATCACACAAGGGAGGCGACTTCCTCCAATCAAATGGCGCTCTGCAGGCTTAGTCCCGCCCACCCCCACGGCCGTCAATCACTGTACTGAGACGGCTTCCCGGGACCTCTTACGGCTGCACCAGTGAAAAACGGGTCATAGAAGGCGGCTTCAGTGGGACCGGCGGCATCCTTGGGGCAGCGCGATCCTCCAGCACAAGGCGACATCTCGGGCCAGTGATATCTTCCTGCACCAGGCGGCATGGCAGCAGCATGTAAAGAACCCACACAGGCATGCCCTTGGGCTGCGGAAGTTACCATTATTTTTCCGTGTATAAGACGCTGCACTTGTATAAGGCGCACCTGGTTTTTGAACAGAGTGTTTGCAGGAAAAAATAGCGTCTTATACTTGGAAAAATACGGTAATGTCAACAAAACAGTGGCGGACAACAGTACATTATCCTGTGTTGAATTGTCCCAAAGAGAGTTGTCCCATGGAGAGTTAGCTGTGAATTGGCCAGGGAGAGTCAGTGGGGGCGAGTTGTTCCATCCTGGGTTCTGGTAGCCCCTCACCCAATTATCGCAGTGTTGTTTGCAAAAAAAATTGAGAGGATTGCTCATTTGTATAGAATGCTCGGCCAGTCCCTGGGAAGAGAGCATCCCTCCCTTAAAATCCCTGGTTTGTATTCCTACCTTCATAAGTGCAATAATAGAAGACGTTCAGGGCCTCCACGGCTGCTGGCCCCCTCTGCTTATAGCCAAAGATCAAGTCGATCCATTCATGCAAATGGGCCGAGACATACTCGGATTCCTGCAAAGGAAGCAACCCAGAGATGGGACGTCAAACTGGCAAATTGCAGTCTGTTCTTCCCACAGGAAAACAACCCAATTCAATTCACCCTGGGGCGTGAAAACCATTCCCAAACTAGGACACCCAGACATGTATTTAAAACTTTGAAATTGACAGATAACTAGACAGCTCTTATCCTGTTGGGTCATCATTTCAGAAATGCTTCCCTATCTAAAACAATCAACATTGGCTTTTAACTTCCCGCAGGCTTCCCCAATAACTTTTCTTTTAGGAAGTTGGCCAGAACGTTGGAAACAACAATTATGTGACCCTGGCAGCACAACAGTGCAGCAACATGGCAATATGAAACAGCCACACCTCTGCCAAATTTCAAATCTGTGGGGCTCAAGAATCCCGGATTTTAGATGCATTCTGTAAGTTAGCCGACTTGAAATATACCGATTCAAAAATTATTGGCCTATGATGCACCGTTTTGCCCAGCTGAAGGCTACAAACAGACACGAGAGCTTTAGTAGTATCTAGGTAGAAGAGAATTTCTGTAGCTCAGATGCACTGATGACGTTCCCTATTTGGGTCATGGAACGTCTGCAAGGAAACCACCCAGCTCTGAGACCACCAAGGACCCCACAATTCTAGATTTGCCCGGACTTTTAGAGGCACTTTGCAAATATGACCTTCCCACAACCCCAGTGTGCAGCCAGCACTTCGTTTCACATACAAGTGCTTGCCGGTGTTTATGGATAAAATCTTCTGGAGATTTGGCCCACTTGGGAAGGACCACGTCCCTGACTTTCTCATTCGATATCTGAAGAGAGCCGAGATCGAAACCTGCGGAAGAGAAGAAAGAGGAAGATTGCAATCATTTTTAAGACATTTGCTGGCTAAAAGGGAAAGAGAATAAACTCCAGGTGGAAATATAAATATAAGATATATAAATAATCTTATAATATATTATTGTGTAATATATATATATATATATATATATATATATATATATATATATATATATATATATATATATATATATATATATATATATATATATATATATTATAAACACATGCAGATAGTTCTTGACTTATAGCCACAATTGATCCCAAAATTTATGTTGCTCAATGAGATATTTGTTAAGTGAGTTTTGCCCCATTTTACAACTTTTCTTGCCCCGGTTGTTAAGTGAATCACTGCAGTTGTTAGTCTCACAATTCTTATGTGAATCTGGCTTCCCCCATTGACTTTGCTTGTCAGAAGGTCACAAAAGGAGATCATGTGACCCTGGGACGTCGTAAATACGAGTCAGTTGCCAAGTGTCTGAATTTTGATCCCGTGACCACGGGGAGGCTGCAACGGTCGTAAGAGTGAAAAACGGTCACAAGTCATTTTTTTCAGTGCTGTTGTAGCTTTGAAATGTCACTAAACGAAGTGTTTTAAGTGAAGGACGACTTGTAATGCTTTGGACCCAAATTTTGATATCTTGCGTCCAATTTCTAGCTGGCCTGCTTGCTGGGGATACTCCTTACCGTTCTGGTTCTCCAGAAAATCGGTAAAGTAGAAGAACTCCGGGATCAATTCCTTCACATCCACCGGGTTCTCCAAACGAGCCTGCCAAGCGGCGGGAACCGAGTGGAACTGACGGTCGGAGCAATCAAACCTGTGACAGGAACAGAAGACTGGAATAACAAGGGTTCCCACCGAGGACGGAGCGTGCGGACGCAACATCACCCTGATCTCACTGTGTTAGTTTGACAACAAAACAACCCAACCAAATTCATTGTGGGACCCTAACCCCCTTCCCCAAATCAAACTTTTGCTGAATTGGGGAAATCTGGACATTATCGGGGTTTGGAGCGAAACGAGGATCCTATCACAGTCGGGATCAACGGTCCAGGGTTGCGTTCAAGCTCACCTCCCGCTCTGCAGCTGGATATGCAAGGTTGTGAATGGCTCTGTGCGAATCAGGTAGTGCATGACGCCCGCCGCGTTGGAATAGTGGGTGCCGTAGTGGAATTTGTCAATCATCCCTGTCGGGTCCTCAAAGCTCTCGTATCTGAAATGATGGGAGTGAGGACACAACAAGATCAGGAGAGGCTGACACGATGGATGATGGGATCCCTTGATAAGATTTGAGGATCTGCTCTGCAAATCCATTTGTGGATTCCTGCCTTATGAGGTGGAATGGAGTCCCAAAGATCCACCCAGAAGACACAACGTGCTCCAAGATCAAGCTCAACAACTGTCGAACTGCGTGGGGAACGACATTCCTAAAGCCACCACGTACATCTCTCCAAGACAGGGGTAGGCAACCTTGGCTCTTTTATGACTCGTGGACTTCAACTCCCAGAATTCCTGAGCCAGCATGGCTCAGCTTGGAAACCTCCCCCTTTCCCCTCAGCATAGTTGGCTCAGGAATTCTGGGAGTTGAAGTCCACGAGTCATAAAAGAACCAAGATGGCCTACCCCTGTGCTCCAGGAGCTTCAGATGGAAAGCTGGCAGCTGCTCATTCGTGGAGAGTTTCGTCAAATCTGATGACTTACAACTGGTAGATCTCAATTTGTGATGGTAATGGAGTTGGTGGTTGTAAGTGGTGACAGTTGTGATGTGATCACCTCACTTAATGATCCCAAACTCATCTCTTCCTGATGCTGTATTAAGTGACTGCTTAGGTTGTTAAGTGGAATTCAGGGTGCCTTGGGGAAGTCTAGCACAGGCTTGCTGATTTGGGATTCCCAAGACCCCCCCCCCCGACACCTTAGGCACCCTGTGCTCTGCTTCCCACATCATGGGGACCCCACAGACTTTGGGCCCTGCTTCACCTCGCCATCAGATCCCCAAGGACTGCAGGGACCCAGCAGGGCAGGATGACGGTGATAGACAGGAAGTGCCGTGCAGTATTCTTGAAGTTAATCGTAAGGATGAATGACCGTGGGGATGCTGCAGTAGCCATAACTGGGTCATAGCTTTGGGGGGTCAGTTCTAACTCCAAACGGTCTCTAAACAATCGGTCACATGTCATGGGCTACCCATATAGTACAGTTCTGCCTGTGTGCACACCTGCACTAAGGCCGGGTGTAGTGGCCCAGGTTTTTTTGCAGGCTGTGCTGCTTCCAATAGGGAGACCTCCGTGGGGTACCCCATATTTATTTCACCCCAATGAATTTTGAAAAGCTCCTTTGTCAAGCATGCCATGAGACTCTCCTCTTCCTGAGCATTGTGTAATTGAATGCATGTTTCACGCAGAAGTTCTGTAATTCACTTTTACTGCTGGGCAGACGAGTTGGCCTTCAGCTCCCAGAATCCCTAGCAAGGATTCCAGTGGTGAAGGATTCTGGGAAGTGAAGTCCAGCGCAATGGCAAGGCTTCAAATGGGAAGGTCAGGATTGGCCAAATTTTTAAAGAACGACAGGTAGGGACGAGAATTTGTGTTGCTAAGCAAGTTACGCGAATTGCACCCAATTTTACATCTTTCTTTGCCACGGTTGCTAAGTGAATCACTACAGTTGTTAAGTGAATCATACGGTTGTTAAGTGAATCTGGCTTTGCCCACTGACTTTGCTTGTCGGACATTAGCTGGGAAGGTTGCAAATGGTGATCACATGACCTTGGGAGCCTGTAACCATGGCAAATACATGCCAGATGCCCAGCGCCTGAATTGGGAGAACTCAACTGTGGGGTACGAGGACCTGTCGTAAATCACGTCTAAGGAGATTCTCAGTCATCCAGGTCACAGTTATCCCAAAGGTGCTTTTTCACGCGGCAACTGGATTTTCATTTTTCTTTGAAAAACAGGACAGCACAGGAAATGCTCACAACCTTGCACTCACTTCTCCTTCACAGCCTTGGCGTGTTTCTCATTGGCCACTCCGATGGGCTTGGACAGATCCCGGAAAACGGCCGGGTTGTTCAGATCCAGCGTCTCCGAGAGGTAATCTTGCAGGATCCAGGGGAACTGAACGAGAGGGAGAAAGAAAAGATGCTTGAACTTCATCTTGGGGCCACAGAGGAGAGGGTTTCAGAAGACCCCTCCCCTTTTCTAAGCCTCCCACCTTTATTCTGGGGTCTTACCACGGGATATTGAGAAAGATCGTTGTAGGTGCGTCCCGCAATCGTGTTCAGCTGTATGAGGTATTCAAAGTTGGAGATCTCCCTGTAGACCCATTTCTGGAGGAGGAAAACAAAGGGATCCACTGAGATATACCATGGGTGGACACAGGAACAGGTAAAAAAATGAGGAGGGGGAGGGGAGGTTGACCCTCGAGACTTTTCAATCTTGGGACTGTCTGTCTTGCCGCACGTGAGAAAAAAAGAAAGCGAAGGTTCTAAATTTGATAAACCTATCGGAAAACAGGATAATAGAAACATTAATAATAATTAATAATAATAGAAACCTTCAGCTCTCATTGCCAAAGCTGAAGATGATAGCTGGGCCTGGAGACTCTTCTCCAGGTTTTTACAGATAGTCCTTGACTTACAAACATTCATTTAGTGACCGTCTGAAGGCACTGAAAAAATTTACTTAGGACCGTTTTTCACACTTATGACTGTTGCAGCATCCCCGGGTCATGTGATCCAAATTAAGACGCTTGGCAACTGACTCGTATTTATGACGGTCACAGTGTCCTGGGGTCACGTGATCCCTTTTGCGACATTCTGACAAGCAAAGTCAAAGGGGGAAGCCGGATTCACTTAACGGCCGTGTTGCTAACTTAAAAACTGCAGTGATTCACTTAACAACAGTGGCAAGAAAATGAGGCAAAGCTCACTTAACAACTGTCTTGCTTAAGAACAGACGTTTTGCCGTTAATTTTGGTCATAAATTGAGGACAACCTGTATACTGGGGAAAGAGAGAGGATGGCGGGTCAAATCCACCTGTGGACAACATGCCTTTGACATCAAATACTTTGAACCCAGGTAGTCCTCGACGTATGACCACAACGGAGATGAGAATTTCCGCTGCTAAGCAAGGTGGCTGTTAAATGAGTCATGCTACATTTATGCCACTTTTTGGCAAGTTAGCTAAGCGAATCAGTGCAGTTGTTGAGAGAACGATGCAGTCGCTAAGCGAATCCGGCTTCCCCACTGATTGGAAGATGGCCAAGGGTTATCATGGGATCCCAGGACGTTGCAAATACACACCAGTTGTCAAATGCCTGAATTTTAATCGCTCGGCTGTTGGGATACAAAGACGGTCGTAAGTGTGAGGGTTGGTCATAAGTGGCGTTTTTCAGGGCTGTCGAACGGTCTCTAAACATACGTCAAGGACTAGCTGGGTAGAGAGAGAGGAAACAAATTCTTGTGACAATCCAACGGTGGCCGAATCAGGCGGGATCTCCGGCTCTTCCCAAACGGGGAAGGACACGCCTGCCCAAGGAGCGGTGCAGAAAGTTGGAGAAAGAGGGTTACCTGAGTCAGTCCGGAGGCCTTGAGCAGGTCCTGCGGGGAGCGGCTGCCTTGGTAGATCTGGCTGGGAAGCTGCAAGCTGAGGATGGTGGAGTAGACCTTGTTCCTCACCTGGGAGGGAGGGAGGGAGGGAGGGAGGGAGCGGTAGGTGAGGGAGCGGTCCGGAGGCAACCGTTATTTTATTTCGCGTTTTATTTCACGTTTTATTTTGTATTTTACTTTATATTTTATTTTGTTTTATTATTACTTTGCTTTATTTTATTTATTTCACTTTACTTATTTTATTTTTATATTATTTCATTTTTATTTTATATTAATTATTTTATTTTATATTTTATTTTGTTCTAGTCTATTTTTATTTTATTTTTTTAAATTTAATTTATTTTATTTTCTATTTTATTTTGTTTTTTAATTTTTTTGCTTTGTTTTAATTATTTTATATTATTTTATGTTTATTTTGTTATTTTGTTTTATTTTTATTTTATTTTAATTATTTTATATTATTTTAATTTTATTTTAACAATTTTATTTTCTATTGTTTTATTCTGCTCTATTTTATTTTAATTTTATTTTATTTATTAAATTTAATTTATTTTACTTATTTTATTTTATTTTCTATTTTATTTTATTGTTTTTAATTTTATTTTGCTTTGTTTTAATTAATTTATATTATTTTATGTTTATTTTGTTATTTTGTTTTATTTTTATTTTATTTTAATTATTTTCTATTATTTTAATTTTATTTTAACAATTTTATTTTTTATTGTTTTATTCTGCTCTATTTTATTTTATTTATTAAATTTAATTTATTTTACTTATTTTATTTTCTATTTTATTTTATTGTTTTTAATTTAATTTTGCTTTGTTTTAATTATTTTATATTATTTTATTTTGTTATTTTGTTTTTTTTGTTTTATTTTAATTATTTCATAGTGTTTTAATTTTATTTTAACAATTTTATTTTCTATTCTATTTTATTCTATTTTATTTTTATTTTATTTTTTTAATTTAATTTATTTTACTTATTTTATTTTCTATTTTATTTTATGTTGCTTTATTTTACTTATTTTATTTTTTATTAATTATATTATATTTTTATTTTATTTTACTTTTATTAATATTTTATATCCTACCCTACTTTTAATTCAATTCGATTCAATTCAATTTAATTCAATTTATTTCTATCCCGTCTGTATTATTTTTATAAGTAACTGAAGGGAGTAAAGACACCCAACGTGCGTTCTTCCTCCCATTTTCCCCACAACAATCCTGTGAGGTGGGCTGGCCTGAGAGGAAGGGATTGGACCAAAGTCACCGAGCTGGCTTTCAAGCCTAAAGCAGGACTAGAACTCACCACCTATTGCTTTCCACCCTGGTGCCTTAACCACTAGATCAGATTTCTCTATTTCCAAGATGGCACCTGCACCTAGTTTGCCCCCCCCCCCCCGTGCACCTTTCCCGTGGGGAGGAAGCTCCCGTTACCATTTTCTTGAAGTTGAGGAAATAGTTTGCCTGGTCGATGAAAAAGAACTCCAGGGCCGAACGGCGCAGGTTGTAACGGCGCAGGTGCAGCTCCCGGAGCTGAGAGAGCGGACGCTTAAAGTCGTGTCCGATACCTACGAGTAAACGTTAAGTGTGAAAAATGGTCACGGAACTTTTTTCAGTGCTGTTGTAAATTCAGTCACTAAATGAATTGCCGTAAGTTGGAGACTATCTGTGCGGTACATCCCTTGGCATATTTACAGGCAGTGTTGGGATTCCAATAATTTAACAACTGCTTCTCTGCCCTAATGACTGTTTTAAGTATAAAAAAAGCACCACCGGAAAAAGCGGAGTCTGTATGTGCACTTGTCTCGCGCTTGCCCTGTGTCCGCCATGCTTTTCACGGTGCGCTGCAGCTGATCCGAGGCCGCCAGCCAGGCACCGAAGGGCCGCCGAAAACAGTGGAGTCTGTGTGTGCTCCTTCCTTGCCTGTGTCAGCCATGCTCTCCACGGTGCGCTGCAGATGATCCAAGGCGTGGAAAGCACGGCTGACGGGTGACTGCATAGCAGGTGCGCACACAGACTCCGCTGTTTTCGGCGGCACTTTGGTGCCTGGTCGGCTGCCTTGAATCAGCTGCAGCGCGTCGTGGAGAGCATGGCGGACGCAGGTAAGGCAGCCGCGCACACAGAATCCACTGTTTTCGGCAGCGCTTCGGTGCCTGGCCAGCGGCCTCAGATCAGCGCAGTGCGTCGTGGAGAGCGTGGCGGACGCGGGGTGAGCACAAGGCAGGGGCGCACATAGACTCCGCTTTTTTCAAGTGCCATTTTAACAACCGGTTTGCCGAAATCAAGAAAAAAGTAGGTAGCAATTCTGCTTAACCGGTGTGAACTGGCTGAATCCCACCACTGTCTACAGCAGTGTTTCTCAACCTTGGCCACTTGAAGACGTCAGGACTTCAACTCCCAAAATTCCCCAGCCAGCAGGGCTGGCTGGGGAATTCTGGGAGTTGAAGTCCAGACGTCTTCAAGTGGCCAAGGTTGAGAAACACAGGTCTACAGGGAGTCCTTGACTTGCAATTACTCATTTAGTGATCGTTTGAAGTTACAAGGGCACTGAAAAAAGGGACTTACGATTGGTTTTTTACCCTTATGACTGAGCACAATGCTGTTCGTAAGCCGAGGACAACTGGCGCCCTTCCTGCTATCTCCCAAGGCCATTCTCGCATCCCGTTGCACTCACTTACCGTCCTCGGTCTCCTCTTTCTCGCTGCTGCTGTCGTAAAAATAGATCTGTTGTGTGGTGACCTCCAGGCGCCCCGGGATCACAGCCACAACAGTGATGAGTTCGCAATCCTCGGAGATCAGCAGTTTCTCTCGCTGGTTTTGCTCTTTGGGTTCTAGCCTGAAAGAGAGAGAGAGAGAGAGAGAGTTTGAACTTGCTTGGTGAC